TAACTACACAAATGGCTTGGTCACAGCTGACTGATCCCAAATTTGCCAGTGATTTTCTTTTAATTTACCATGGCTCAGTCCCCCTGTAATACAGGTAGAGGAGGCATATTTGTTCCCAAACTCCCCTCCTGGGGTTAATCATGCACAGAACAAAACTCCATTTGAGCCACTTAATGATTTCATTTCCACCCCAGGTTTGAAGGAGCTGCGGCTATAATACTAATGTAGGTCCCTGTGTCCCCAAACCCCAGATGTTTGTGTGCGAGGGAACGAACGCGTGGGGGCCTGTGAGCTCCTTGACCACTGCCTCCCGAGTCAGAGCGCCTTTCCTTTCTGAGGGCACCGGCTCCCCTCTTTCCCAGAGGCCCGGACCCTTCTGCACCCCAGCTCTCTGGGGAGCTGCCTTGCGTGGCCGGCCCGGCAGGTGTGCTCAGCTTGCCCCTGGGTCCTGCGGCCAGGTTTCGGCCAGGTTTCAGGGGCTTCTTTTACACTCACCTGGAGGAGCCACACCTGGGCACCTCCGAACCCCCCCCCCCCCCCCCGCCGCCCATGCTCCCCACCCTGACCTGCATCCCAAGGCTCAGGCCCAGGCCCAATTCCCCAGCCGTCCCGCAGGCCTTCCTGTGCACGTGCCCTCTTCCCCCAAAGCCCCCTCCGCCGCTGCAGGCCTGGCAAAGCCTCCGTTTAGAGGTCACCTGTGCTGCCAAGTCAGCACCTTCCCGCCGAGGCCGAGGCGAGAAAACCTCCCCCTCTTCGGCTTTACCGCGTAGCCACTCCTGGTTTGTTTACACCCGACGCTGAAACCCTGTCTGCGGGTCCCTGGCTCCAGCACCCTGAGCTCCCTGAGGCCAGGCCAGGCCAGTCCTCTGGGTGTCACAGTATCCGGTGTAAACGACGACTCTCGTTCGAATGGGCCGCGCCTGCACGCTTCACGTGCTGGGAGTGAAGTGTACCCACCGTTAAGCTCAGATCCTCAGGGTCTGGCCCTGCGCACCCCAGCTCCGTGGGCTCTGAGAGGGACCAGGGCGCCTGCAGGAAACGATTTTGTGTGGAAATGGTGCCATCTGGTGGTTTCTGGCGAGACAACACCAGCCGCGTGGAGAGGGCCTCATCCCCTGGCGAGACCGTGTGGCTAAGCCCTGGGCCCAGCGGGCTGCGCACTGCCACCTGCCCGCCCCCACCCCGCGAACCTGAGGGCTTGGGACGGCAGGGTCACCTCCAGGACGGCTGAGGACAGCCCGCTTTCTTCTCTCCCCTGTTTCCTGCAGCTGTTCCCCACCCCGTCCCCCCATGCAGGACAGGCTGGTCCTCGCCACCAGGTACCGCCCCTCCACCAAGGCGCCCACCTGCCAGCCCCATCCCGTGTGTTCACCCACCTGCTCCATATCACCCCGAGCCCAACAGGGACCTGAGTCATCACCCGAACTGACCTTCTCTCCCCCGCTGAGCCTTCCCCATCTGGGCACATGGCAGGTCCACGGCCAGCTGTGCCAGGACATTTCGCCTCCCCCATTGTCCAGACGCTGCACATCACCATGTCATGGTCCTGTCTCAGATCCATCGGCTTCTCCGTGTCCCCTCACCCTCCCAGGGGACCCTCTGGGCTCCCTGCCTCCACCCTGTCCACAGTCCACGTCCACACGTGTGACCCCTTCTGCCCCCAACAATCCTGCACTTTCCATCTCTGCTGGGACAAGCCCCCCGGCCCACAGGGCCCTGGCCCCCTCACAGCAGCCTCCTCTGTGGCCCTTCTTCCTCCTGCCCCCATCCTGGCATCTTCTCGGTCATGTCACGCTCCTCTCTTCATCCCAGAGTGCTCTCACTCGCCTCTGCCCAGGGCTGGGGCCCTGTCCCCTGGCTACTTAACCCCTGCTCCCCTCCCTCCTCCTGTCCCCCTGCCCTGGAGCAAGCAGGCCAAGGGAGGCCGGGAGGGCGGGGTGATCGGGGGAAGCGCAGGTGCTCCTGAGCTCTGGGGGTAGCGGGGCACGCAGGGTAAGGACCTCTGTCCTCCGACGGCGCCTGGCTGGCCAAGGCTCACCACCCCATCAAGCAAAATGACCCGTCCCCAGCTCAGCTCCGCGGCAGAGTGGTCGGGGGCCCCGGCTGGCACGCCACCGCCTGCGCTCCACCCGGCCGTGCCACTCCGTGGCTGTGAGATGTCAGGCACGCCACGTAACTTCTTTGAACTTCCAGGTCTTCCTTTGTAAAACTGGGTGGTGATTCCCAAATGATCAGAAATAAATCTGTCTTCTTCTCGGAGGAGAGCAAGCTCCCATTCCCTACAGCACTTCTCCCTTAGAGTGACCGTGAAAATGGGGAACAATAGCTCGTGAGGGCGCTTAGCTGGTACCCGGCCCACGGCAGGAGCTCAGTCCACGTTAGCTGCTGTTCTTGCAGACACGCAACAAAAACTTCGACACATCTTCCAGTTTCTGGGCTGAAGTGTAAAGAGCTTGGAAATGGTCACTCCCATTCTCAGAATTGCGGGTGGGGGCGGGGGAAGCCAAAGAAACCAAAAGCCAACAACACTTCTTAGACCCATCAGAGAATTTAGGTCACAAGGCAAAACGCGGATGTGAGAATTGGAGAAGCAGACAGGTGGTTGTTCAGAGAGTCACAACTATGCGACGCAAAGCCCAGGAGGCAGCCCAGGGCCCAGGGCAGGGAAGCTGAAACGTCACCGACTCATTGCTGGCGGCTCAATGTGAACAAGCCTGAGATTTACGAAGTCCAGGGGCCCCCGTCTTAGAAGGCCCCCAACTTCCTCAATTTTGCCTCCCGGAGCCCCAGCAGATCCGGAGTGAGGATCAGAGAACCCGTCCCTCTCGCCCACTTCAATAACAGGGGCAGGGGAGGGGGGATAACCATTTTGAAGACCGTCCAGAGCATTCTGTTGTACTTAACAAAGGCCCACCCTCCAGGAAGAGCCCCCTAACCCGGGGGGAAGGAAACCCCCCAATGTGGCCCCCTGCGACCTTCCTGTCCCTCCGGAGTGGGCGCAGGAGGGGCGGCGAGGAGGACACAGCCCAGGGCCACGGGCTGAGACTGAGGCCTCAGCAGAGGCCCAGGGGACCCACCCCCGCTCTGCCCTCCAGCCGCCCCGGCGTGGCAGGGACCCCTTTTTAGCCACAGGGAATTTCAGCTGAGCCCGCGAAAAGCCTCGAACCCTATTTAAGAAGGAACCTGTAGGGAAGCCTAAAGACAGGAGAGAAAACCAAGGGGACGAGACACGTTAGCGTCTGCAGCTATGGCTGTGGAGACAGTAAGCACGGCCTGTCAGCCACATGCCCAGACCCCCTGCCCCTGCCCCCGCCTCACACCCCTGCCCCTGCCCCGCTACCCCCCACCCCCCACCCCCCAGCATATATGGCTTCAGCAAAACCAGACGCTGCCCGGCACAAGGTGAGCACGCCACCCTGAAAGGCAGACTTGAGTAAGGCAGGGCGCGGGATGTCAGACTGGGAGTTAGGACTGTGATAAATATGCCGAGGGATCTGCTAGGGAAAATGGACAGCGCACGAGGACAGACAGGCAATGGAGGCAGACAGACGACGCCCCGGGAAGCTATCAACAGGGGACGCCTGGGGCGCTCAGCGGTGGAGCGTCTGCCTTCGGCTCAGGGCGTGACCCCGGGGTCCCGGGATCGAGTCCCGCATCGGGTTCCCGCAGGGAGCCTGCTCCTCCCTCGGCCTGTGTCTCTGCTTCTCTCTGTGTCGCTCACAAATAAATAGATAAAATCTTTTAAAAAATAAATAAATAAACCCATGAGGGAAACAATCAAGCCAGCCTCCCCCAGGAAGCCCTCAGGCCAGCCCAGCACCCCTTCCCGCATTCCACGAGCACCTGGCACGGCCGCTGGACCCAGCTCTGTGCTGGCCGGGTGGCTCCCCCCCGCCCCCGCCCCCGCCCCCATGTGTCCCCAGGGCCCAGGGCGTGAGGCGCGGGGTGATGGGCGAATGAACAGCAGGCACTGACGGTGATTAAATAGCTCGTCTCTTTATTAGCCAGTGGGCAGGAAGGTTCCAGTGGGCCTGTCACAAGCAAGGGCTCACCGTGGGGTCCCCTCTGCCCAGGTGTGGTTGCTCCCCCCATCAAGGGTCATAGACGCTCTGTGACACAGGCTGTTCCCTGACCCTGGAGGACATGACCCCGTTATCAGGGGAGGCCAGGCTCCCCGGATCCCGCCACCCGCCTGCACACGGCTGCACGCCCGCACAGCACACACCCCTGCCGTGCGGGGCCTCACACCTCAGGACAGCCTGCAGCACCCCGAGCACCCCAGCAGCCCCGCGGCCACGGGGTCAGTGATGGGAGGATGCGGCCGGCCAGCCCCCTCAGGCTCCCGGGTCACACGCGCACACACGAGCGTACCCAAGGTGGAGCTGCACAGGGGGCTGGTGTGCACCCCCAGGGCTGGCCCGGCCGCGAAGGAAGGGGCACGAGGGCCGCGCTCCTCTCCAGGTGCCTTGGATGGGACGAGAAGCATGCAGGCAAGCAGCAAGTGTCCCATAAATGCAGCACCGGGTACCCCCGCTCCCCCCGCCCCCCGCCACCTCCCGGAGCCACGGCCTCCACTGCAACCCCCAGTCCCCGGGGTGGGACCAAGAGCCATGCACCCCGAGGCAAGGCCCCAGCTGGTGGCAGGGCCCAAATCCGTGTGCCCCCAGATGTGCCCGCAGTGCCTGCGATTCTGTGGCTCACGGTGGGGTGGGTTGTCCGATGACCAGTGATGCCCGGGTCGTTAGACCCAAGAGCGGCGTCCACACCGACCCCCGTCACAGCCCCACTGGGCCCCGCTCACCGTGACGCCTCGGCCCCTGTGGGACCCTGGCCCACCCTCCCCACCGCAAGTGCATCCCCCACCAAGGCAGGGCTCCGCCTTATTATCAAGCCCCCCCGCCCCACCCCTGCAGGCTGTCCCAGGCCCACCCAGGAGAGCTGCACCCCCTGCCCCCTGCCCCTGCCAGGCTCCTCACCTGGCGCCCTCTCACCTGTAGCTCTCAGCAGTCTGCGTAGGAATTTCTGCTGCGAATCTCCTGGGATGCATCATCCGTGAGGTTGCATATGCTGCAGGGACGGAAGAGACGAGCAAGGCCCCCAGGAGGCTGCGCCCAGGCTCCCCAGACCGCGGCGTCAGGGCGGGCACCCCGCCTGAGCCGCGCCCACTCAGCCCGGAGCACATCCTACAAACCTGTGCTCCGCCCGCAAGGACGCACCCGTGGCCAGGAAGATGTCGGCGCGGGAGAGCCCCCCCACGTGCCCCATGTGCCCCACCTGCCTCACCTGCCCACCTGCCCACCTGCCCACCTGCCCACCTGCCCCTGTGTCGGTATCCAACCCGCTGATCCCAGCTGCTTACCTGCGTCTCACCTGCTCTATTCGCTCTCGCATGACATCATCCCTCACCTCACTGGGGACTTGGAAGATTCGGGTGTGGCTGCAAAACAGCGAGGGGACCCTGGGATCCCTGAGGTCCCTCACAGGCATAGCCAGCAGGTTGGAAGCCAGGAGCCGCAGTTCCCACCCTGTCTCGAGGGACTTCTGAGCGGAGTGGGGGGAGGTCCTTCACGCACGAGGCACACAAGGGTGGTTTTGGTTTTGGTTTTTTAGATTTGTCACTTCAAGTAGCCCCGAGCCACCCAATAATCCCAGCCAGGGCAGATGGCCCTAGGGAGGGGCGGAGAAGCAGAGAGCTTCCGTGCCTTTACTGGGGTGGCACACGGGCTGGACCCATCCTCGCGTGGGCCCCCTCGTGGCTTTCTGATGTTCTCTCGCATTCACACGCCTTATTCCCCTTGTTCACTTGTATCCTTTCAAAACTGGGGACTCCGTCCTATTTTCTCCCCCTTTCGGGGGCCTAGCAAACATCTGGTGGTTGGCACACATCTACCGAATAAGTGAGTGGCCCGATGCCCGATGAAGGGGCATGTGCCCCTGGCTGCGTACTTACCAACATGGAGAGTGCCCCAACCAGTGGCTTATACGGGGAGCCACGCACACTGTACGGGTTTCAAAAAGCCACAGAAAGTCCGGGGTGGAAAGATTACCTGTGGATCATTGCCCGTGGTTCCCGTAGCTTGTCTCCCAAGCTCTGGCCTAGTTATGCCATACAGCGGGGCCTCCAGAATTTCCGAAGACAATGTGCATATCATCCAGACCAAGGGACGGGACTCGCAGAGCTCCCTCCAGTGCAGCCACGTCAGGCAGGGACAGTCCCTCGCCCGTATGGCTGTGGCTGGATAACAGTCCCCACGTTTATGATTTTAGAATAGAGCTCCCCTCCAAAGAGACTTTCCCAGGCAGGTCGCAAATCCCACCATTTGTTATTCCTTCCTGAGCATTTGAATCCAGTTTTAAAATGCTAACGGGGGGATCCCTGGGTGGCGCAGCGGTTTGGCGCCTGCCTTTGGCCCAGGGCTCGATCCCGGAGACCTGGGATCGAGTCCCACATCGGGCTCCCGGTGCATGGAGCCTGCTTCTCCCTCTGCCTATGTCTCTGCCTCTCTCTCTCTGTGTGTGACTATCTAAATAAATAAATAAATAAATAAATAAATAAATAAATAAATAAAATTTTTTTAAAATAAAATAAAAAAAATAAAATGCTAACAGGGGACGCTTGGGTGGCTCAGAGGTTGAGCATCTGCCTTTGGCCCTGGGTGTGATCCCTGGGTCCTGGGATCGAGTCCCGCATTGGGCTCCCTGCATGGAGCCTGCTTCTCCCTCTGCCTGTGTCTCTGCCTCTCCTTCTGTATCTCTCATGAATAAATAAATAAAATCTTTAACAAATAAAATAAAATAATAAAATAAAATAAAATACTAATGGCACCAGAAGGGGTAAACACAAGAAAACTGGATATCCCCCCAAGCAAAAATACATTTCTTGAGAAATGTGTCCTCCTTAATAGAAGTGAGCAAAGCTGGTGATGGGGGCATGGAAAGGAGGAGCGCATGGATATGAGAGAGAGAGAGAGAGAGAGTTTCCTGGAGGACCAGTTTAACCCCACGGTTCTGCTGGGAAAAGAGACGCTGAGTGAACACAAGTCCTGGAAAGGAAATAGGGAGGCTTATACCAAGGGGAATGAGCCTGCCTGGGGCTCGGGTCCCTCCACCTGGGGCCTCTGTCCTTGGGCATGGGGACAGGCCACAGGGTGGTCCCTACTGCGCCGCGCAGGGTGCCGGCCTCAGGCGCTGAGAAACCTCTCCTCACCTCAGCTGCAGAGGAGGGCTTAGCTTTAGCATTGTAAGAGCTTATTTTCTTTTAGCTCCTTAAAGTGCAGCCAGTTCTGAGCAAATCAAGTGCAAAAGCAACAGAAGTCGGAAGCCTATTCGCACCCACCGAAGACCCGGGGAGCCAGCCCGCCTAGCAGCCCTCGGGCCACGTAGGGACTTCGGAGCCAGCTGGGCTTCCGAGACAGCGGAATATTCCCCTAAGAGCCCGAAGTAAGGCCGGAGACTTTCTCAGCCAGAGAAGCCCACATCTCCGGAGAAGAAGAGCTGCGAGTCCGCGTTGGCAGGAATCCCGAGGGGGGCCTTGCGCCTCCCTCCCACCACCCCACTCAGGGAAAATCGGATCCTTTACCTCCATCGTATGAACTGGATTCTTGTTCTTTCCTCCAGGACGTCTTGACTCTGGTTCGCCAACAAGTCAGACTTGGAGAGATGGTGCTTCACCTAGGAGATCCAGGTAGCATACGTGGTCACGGTCCCGCGAGGCCACCGTGGAGGGGGGGTCGGTACCAGCTCCGCCCACTTGCCCGGGACCCTTTCAGTCGGATCCTGTGCCCACCCACCTCCCTTTCCACCCACTCGCCCCGGACAAAGGTCTCAAACTCCCAGTTACCACGTCTCTGGTGACGTGGACATCCTGGCCGTGAGTGGGAGGGCAGTTGGTGGACATCTTCTCCTTTATGTCCTGGGAAGCCTCTTCTTCAGTCTGAAAGGGGAGTAGTGTCCCCTGAAAGTGTTGCTCCGTGTCTGAGCTGAAATCGGTCTCTTCTTCCTTTTCTCTCTTTCCGTCACAACACACATGCCACGCGTCCTCACATACACCTCCCGCGTCTCCCAGTTCCTATTACGACCTCCCTGTAGGGTTCGGGGGACTCATGAAGCCCCCGCAGGACTCAGGGTGTGGCTGAGGTGCCCCAGGCTGAGGACGGCGCATCTGAAACCGCGTTCGGCATCCTTCAGAAGCGGGGCAGGAATAGCAGTGACCCCAAAGCCTCTGTGACAAGGACACGAGCCCCAGTGTCTTCTAGGATAGTCGGTGAGGTAGACACAGCGGAGGCAGGGTGTTGGGCAGTGAACCTGAGTGTCCCGGCTCTAAGGGGAAAGCAGTCCAGATCCCTGTACCCACTGAGGCCAGCTCCCTAGAATCTGGGGCACCCTGCGTCACAGAGGGATCTTACTTACTTTTTTCAACCAGTGCTGTACTATGGATACAGCCTCGCTTTCTACGACTTCAACATCCTGTAACAAATTGGTAAGTTAATGCCCTCAGAGTCCCTCGAGACACAGCCCTCCCCGCCTCCGTCCTTATCCAAAGTTACCTATGAGAAGATGCGATAGACGGGGGGCCCAGGAGGGATCAGAGGGATGAGAAACACTTCCCGGTGGCCACCCCCAGCTCTACCTACCGAACTGATTTTTGGTGGGAAAGGGAACCCGGCGCCTTTCCGGGCGAGAATGTACACAATCCATGTCGTAATTATCATCTTTGGACTGATGCCAGGGCTCCTGCTTGGCTCCCTCCTTCCATTGAAGCTGCCTGAGAACTCCTCTGGAACAAGGGCTCATTGACGGGAGGTTCCCCCCTGATTGTTTGGTCAACGATGATGTGACAATGGCCTCCTTTAACCTCCGGGGTCAGAGTGGGATGGAAAAAAGAGGTCAGGAAGCATTTGCCCTAGTGATGGCCATAGCTCAGAAATGGGGAGATACGGGGATGGGAAGAAAAAGTCACATACAAACCAATATAAGCCCGAGAAAGACACAAAATCCTAGAGACTTGATTTGGAAAGGTGGATTGTGGTGGGTCACCCAGCGTTGAGCAATGCTAAAGCAGAAAGAGATCTGATGAATCAAAAAAGAAACAAACTTGTGACAAAATGGTCCAGGTCGTCTAGATGTTGACTCAAACAATGCCACAGGTACTTCTTATTCTTACATAAAGGGAAGAAAGAATTTGTCCACCCCCCAAAAAAATCAAAAGACAGAGGAACAAAAGTCTCAACAAGGACATTTTCCTTTATTCTATTTTGTTTACACCAGTGATTCAAATCATTAAAAAAAAAATCCAAACAATAAGAAGAATGGAGTAAATTGCAAGTGCCATTTATTATTTTAAAAATATTTCCTGAGGATTTCCAGTGGACTGCTGCAGTGGAGCAATGTGGAAGCGAGACACGGATTGCGTTGTGACTTCAGATCGGAGGAAAACATTGATAGCTCATCTAGAACCTTCACCAAGAAATGGAAGGAAGTTCAGAATATCTAAAGGATCCTAAGCAAATGTTGAGCTGCTCTCAAAAGTAATGGTTGCCTAACCCTGAGACACTTCTCAAAATCCCAAAAAAACGGGCTGCAGTCCTGGCTTTATACTAACTCATTGTGTGGCCTTAACCCATCATCAGTCTCTCCGGTTCTAGGTTCTTCTTCAAAATGAAAAAAAAAATAGAATAATGTCTGTAGATTTCTTCTAGCTCTAATATTCTATAAATGTTCACATTCTCTTTCTTCCAAGAATATCAAAGAGTATCACCCCCCAGTTCCTCTGATACAACCATTATGTCTCCTCCCTCGCAACAAATCACCTCAATTTTATATCTTCTTTATTCATCAGAATACTCTAGGCTATGTTGAGGCAACAAACTGTCCCCAAATGTTAAAAAGATGGACTTCTCAAAAAAAAAAAAAAAAAAAGATGGACTTCTCACGGGGCGGGGTGGGGGGGTGTATGGAAGTGTTGAGTCACTGTACTGTACACCTGAAACTTACCTAACACTGCAGATTAACTGGGATTAAGAGTTAAAACAAACAAAAAAAGGTTCACTTCTCACTCTCAAAAACTCCAAACTTCTTCAAAGTGGAGAAGCTCTTGTGGGTAGTCCTGCTCCATGTGGTGACCTAAGATCCAGGAAGAACCCCATCCTGTGGCTCCAAGGTCTCATGATGTTAGCCCCGTGATTGCCGAAGCAAGGAGACGGAATGTGTGGAGCAAGAAAATCAGCTCTTCTGCTTCAGCCCAACAGCTTCTTCCTAAAGCTTGTTGGCCAGTACTGGTCATGTGACCCCAACCTAACTCCTGACTGGAAATTGAAAAGTAGAAGGTGAAATTACTTGTCAACACCTCTGTTTCTGCCACTATCCTCTAAAAGTCATGTTTCTATCTTTATTGGTATAATTTTCTGAATATAAACACATTAATGTGATTCAAAAATTAGAACTACATGGAAAGATATACTCAGGAGGGTCCTGTGTCCTCTCCTATCTGGTCAACCTTGTTCTTACTTCAGAAGCAAGATTTCCATACATTTTCTTTTTTTTTTTATATTTGTTTTTATTGAAGTTCGATCTGCCAACATACAGTTTAACACCCAGTGCTCACCCCTTCAAGAGCCCCCCTCAGTGCCCCTCAGTGCCCAGTTACCCCATCCCCCCACCCACCTCCCCTTTCACAACCCGTTGTGTGTTTCCTAGAGTCAGAAGTCCCTCATGGTTTGTCTCCCTCTCTAATTTTCCCCACTCAGTTCCCTTTCCCCTATAATCCCTTTCACTGTCTTATATTCCCTGTATGAGTGAAACCATATGATGATTTCTGTATGTTTTAAAGATATACAACCTGTGTTTATATTTCTAAAATAAAACACATGCATAAATCTATCCTCACTGTTTTATTACTATGTTATAAAATGCATACAGGACAGTGTACAAGTACATGCACAGCTCAGAAAAATCAAGTGGGTGTGCATACACATACACACACATGCACATTGAACCCCTTCCGGTATCCCAGCATGCCCAAGTAATACTCTCCCACAAGGTGACCATCATTTTGACCTCTATCACCAAAGGTGACCTCTATCACCTAGTATTCCTTTGTATTAGCAGAACGCAAGTTATTTGTCAAATTTACTATTAATGGACATTTATGAATATCTACTTTGATTTTTTTAAAAATAATGTAGCTATAGGGGTGCCTAGGCGGCTCAGTCAGTTGGGCATCTGCCTTTGGCTCCGGTCATGATCCTGGGCCCCAGAACCGAGCCTCACATTGGGCTCCCTGCCCCGCAGGGAGCCTGCTTCTCCCTCTTCCTCTGTCGCTGCTCCTGCTTGTTTTCTCTCTCTCTCAAATAAATAAATACAATCTAATAATAATAATAATAATAATAATAATAATAATAATAAAATAAAATAATGATGCTATAAACACCCTTATACCTCTCTTTTGGTTAACATAAGCACTGAATCTTTGGAGCATATACACAGCAAAAAGTGGACTTGCTAGGTCATAGGCCTTACGTATTTTCAGTATTAGTATATACCAAAGAGTATCGCGAAGTGCTTGCACCAGCTACAGCCCGTAAGCAATACATGCAACTGACAGTTGCTGCACCTTCTAGCCAACACATGGTATATCATTTTTTATTGAATATTTAATCCATATGAAGGAATATTTATAGTACAGTCTATGTACAGTCTAAAGAATGATAATACAAGCATACCCATTAAAGATAAAAGAACATTATTGTTACTTTTGAAAGACCCCGTGTACCCCTCCTTAATTCTATTCTTTTCTCTTTCTTTTTTTCTTTATTACATTTACTTGGTATGATGTTTTTATAGTTTATCCAGATGAATGGAGATAAATTGGTAACCAGGAATAGTTTAATTTGTAAATAATTAATTAATTATTGGTGTTAAACATCTGAATTACATGGTAACTATTTGAGGAGCTGTCGAAATGCTTTCTAAATGGCAGCACCATTTTACATTTCCACCATAAATGCATGAGGGTTCTAGTTTCCCCACATCCTTGCCAACATGTTACCTGTTTTTATCCATTCTAGTAAGTGTGAAGTGGCGTCTCATTGTGGTTTTGATTTGTATCTCCCTAGTGATGAATGATGCTGAGTATCTTTTTATGTGCTTATTAGCCATGGATATATCTTCTTTGGGGAAATATCTATTTAGATGCTTTTGATTTTATAATTGGATTGTCTTTTTATTGTTGAATTTTAAGTAAAAGTTCTTTATATATTCTCTGTACAAGTGTCTTCTCAGATACATAATTAGCAAGTACTTACTCCTATTCTCTAGGTTGTGTTTTCACTTTCTAGATGATATCATTTGAAGGAAAGAAATGATGAATGAAGTTATCACTCATCACATAAAATGATGAATTGAACTTTTAATGAGGTGCAATTTATCTATCTTTACTTTTGTTGTTTGTGCTTTTTGGTGCTATATCTAAGATATTCCCATTACATGGTCATGAAGATTTATACCTATGCTTTTTTTCTAAGAATTTAATAACTGTTGCTTTTACATTTGTGTCTGCTATCCATTTTTAATTAATTTTGGATATGGTGTGAGGTAGGGGATCTAACTTCATTTTTAAAAAGATTTTATTTATTTATTCATGAGAGACACAGAGAGAGGCAGAGACATAGGCAGAGGGAGGAACAGGCTCCCTGTGGGGAGCCCAGTGAGGGACTCAGTCCCAGGACCCTGAGATCATGACCTGAGCCAAAGGCAGATGCTCAACCACTGAGCCACCCAGGTGCCCCCCAATTTCATTCTTTTTGCATTTTGAATTTCATTGTCCCAGTTCCATTTATTGAAAAGAACTTCTTTCTCAATTAAATTGTCTTAGCTCCTTTGTCACGAATCAGTTACCCATAAATTAACATTCATTCTCTACTAGGGCCTTGTATCAATTGGAAAGCTGCATATCAAAAGGAGAGTAGTAGCATTTTTCATCCCTAATGGTTTGCTTGGTTGTTTGGCTGAAATACGGATCAAAAGATGACCTACACTAAATGAATTTGAAATGCCAGGACTGGGTTGGTATATTACAGCAGATGGTATCCAAAAGTGTAGGGAGATTGGAAGGCTCAAGTGTATTTATCATGCAAGACACGCTCACCCACCCCGGGAGGGTCCGGAGGACACAACTTTTATTACGACTGAAAAAATAAACTTACGACTGAAAAAAATAAACATCTTTGAAGAGCTCTGGGGTCACTCTTCTCTGTAGGTGAGAAATTAAGGTGGGAACTGCTGCCACTTACATGGGAACTCTAAATGCAATAGGGATATTTGGACCCCAGGTAGCAGGGGCCATGCTGCAACCTTAATCATCAAAAGCAAGGTGGGCATGGTTACTATAATGGGCAGTGGAGTCAAAGCAGTAATAAGAAGAATCTGACTTCCAGAGACATATAATGTTGGCAGATCAGAAGTAAAAGAAATGAGTAGTTTACTAAATTCTTGCCTGATTTATATAAGAGGAAGAATTCTAGGTCAAGTGAACAGAAGTCTAACTCGAATCATAGAAAGAGTCATGATGAGCCTCTGACCAATCCCAGAATTTGAATGAAGGACAGTCTGGATCCCCTTGAGGAAAGACCCTGTTACAAAAAATGCATAGTGTTAATCTTCCACCCCTCCCAAAGGAACTTACAGCCTTTTACTGGGGTGACTGTAAATTGAG